CTTCCTGGTCCCCCCACACAATTATGCACCCACCCACATTCTTTGCACACACAGACACACACACAAAGAAACATTTGTGCACACACACATGGCGACCTTCCGCATGGGAGTCTGTTGCTCTAACAAACATGGGCATCACAGTGGTGCAGAGGGCAGTACGATTGCCACAAAGCAAGAAGGTCGCTGGTTCGAGTCCCGGCTGGGTCAGATGGTGTTTCTGTGTGGAGTTTGCATGTTCTCCCCGTGTTGGTGTGGGTTTACTCCGGGTGCTCCGGTTTCCCCCACAGTCCAAACACATGCGCTATAGGGGAACTGATCAACTAAACTGACCGTAGTGTATGAGTGTGTGTGAATGAGTGTGTATGGGTGTTTCCCAGTAATGGGTTGCAGCTGGAAGGACATCCGTATTCATATGTAAAACATATGCAGGAATAGTTGGCGGTTCATTCCACTGTGGCAACCCCAGATTAATAAAGAGACTAAGCAGAAAACTAAATGAATAAATGATTGAATTATACATTATTTTATTTCATTATATTTTACATCACATGATAGGATATTTGACTATATTCCCTCATATGACATTATATGATTATATATCACACGGCATTAGATTACACTACATTACATTACATTATAAGGGCGCGAAGATAATTATGACGATAATAAGGTAGAGTGTGTCCGGCAGGGTCCGGCGAGGGCTAATGCTCACAGCGCTTTAATTAGACACGCGACCCTTGACCCCTGCCGCTGATGAGGTCACCGCTAACTGTCCACTAGCCTGAGTGCGCTATTAGCACACGCTCACATCCCATCAATTAAATCCCCATATTAATAAGCAGGACTGTGTGGTGCAGCCGACTGCGCTGTGCTGCGTGTGTGTGTGTGTGTGTGTGTGTGTGTGTGTGTGTGTGTGTGTGTGTGTGTGTGTTTTATGGCTGCTGAAACAACCTTGACCGCTGCGGATCTGACGGACACTTTAAACACACACACAAACCTCGGAAATCAAACTGCTGGATGTTCTTCAGAGACTCGTGGAGGAAATAGCAGCAACCCAGAGCCTGAAAAACACAGAGAAAGAGAGAGAATACACATTTAACACAAGATCATGAGCACTTCTGCATCAAAACAACACAGAAAGAAGAAAATGAATCATATTTAGTCCAAGATCTTATGTATTTCTGCATTAAAAAGCAGAAATAAGGGAGAAATTACATTTTTTAAACAAGCTTATGTGCACCTCTGCATTAAAGCAACACTAATAACAAAATTATACATTTAATACAAGATTCTGTTCACTTCCACATTAACAACAGCACAAATAAGAGATACATTACAGATTTAAAGCAATATTCTGCTCATTTCTGCATTAAAAACAGTGGAAATAAGAGCTAAAATACATATTTAAAGCAATATTCTGTTAATTTCTGCATTAAAAACAGTAGAAATAAGAGCTAAATTACATATTTAAAGTAATATTCTGCTAATTTCTGCATTAAAAACCAAAGAACTAAAAGATACTACATATTTAATATAAGGTTCTGAGCACTTCAGCATTAAAAAACAGCTCAAATAAGAGATAAATTCCATATTTAAAGCAATATTCTGTTAATTTCTGCATTAAAAACAGCTCAAATAAGAGCTAAATTACATATTTAAAGCAATATTCTGTTAATTTCTGCATTAAAAACAGCTCAAATAAGAGCTAAATTACATATTTAAAGCAATATTCTGCTCATGTCTGCATTAAAAACAGTGGAAATAAGAGATAAATTACATCTGATAGAAGATTTTGCCCTTTTCTTCATTATAAACTGCAGAAATAATTTTTTGAATCATATTTAATTCAAATTTATGTGCACTTCTGCACTCACAACAGCAGAAATAACAGAAATGATACCATCGGTATTACATTATAAACACTTCTGCAAACACACACAACCACGCACAGGCACAAACAGACACTCATATGCATGCACACAAATGACTGCACACACAGACACACAAACAAATGCACACAAACACAATCTCACACACACACACACACGCACACACACACACACACACACACACACACACACACACACACACACACAGCACAGACAATGTCAAACAGTGATAAGACTGTGGAGATTTTCTGTTTATAAAGTGGAAGCAGCTTCAAATCCTCTGTGATTTAGCTCAAATAGGCAATAGTGTAGTCATCATACTAAATTTCAGTACCAATCAGTACCAATCGGTGCTGATATTTTAAAAACATCCATTTCCTGCTAACATTTAAGCGCTGTTGATGACGTTCTTAAACAGCGCTGATGTGCCATTGTGTTCACGTGCTCAACAGAAATGACTGGGATCAGTTCATCACTGTTCACCAAGTGCAAACACAGATACAGGCACACTGGATCATTTTAAAGCCACAAAGATCAGTTACTCTGTCTGTGAGGTGACAAACGGGCAATCTCCAACACTCCAGTGTCCCTGTATCTGTGTTAAAGTGGTGAACTGAGAACTGGTAGGGCTGGTAAGACTTAATGGCAGACTTAAGACTTCAAGAATGTAATGTAAAATGACACTCAGCAGTCTTCACTATAGAAATGTAATGTAACCAGTGTTTGATAAAGCAACAAATGCTCTTGCTTATTGTGTCTGAATGCTTTAAACTCACATGATATGTATAACAAATGGAACAAATAAAGAAATGCATTTAATAAGCTTAAAATCCACAGTAGTTAAACGTTGCCACTGATCTGCAAAATCCACACTTGACATTGCAGATCCAGTACTGTGACTACAGCAGATGTGCACATTGCGATATCGATGACGAAACCATATATTGTGAAGCCCTTAAAATACTTTGCTTACATTTATTGTCACCCAAATGATCATTATTTATACAAAATACATTAAAAATTCTGAAACATTATTAACTTTCCATAAAGCTGCTTTCAGTGTGAATGTACAGTAAAGTGTCAGCATCATTACTGCAGTCTTCCATCCTTCAGAAATCACTAGAACATGAGCATCTGATGATCATCAAAAACATTCATATTTAGGCTCTCCTCACAGTTCTCTCTGAATCATGAAAACAGCTGAAATAAGCACTTCTGGATCAATACCGCGTCAGAGAGAGCCAGATTTCCCAGAAGATCCTTCAAGTGGTGTATATTTCATAAGTGCGTGCGTTTATATTCCACAAAAGCGCACAAACTCTGCTCGTCTATGAATATGAAGAAAGAGCTGGCTTTGGCTCTTTTCTTATGTAACGGCGCTCAAATATAACATGTAAATTATAGCGGGAGCCGATTCTGTCAAAGCGGCCGATCTGAGCCGCTCAGGCAGAGTTTAGCATGACCAAAGATTTACTTCAATAGGATTATATTCTTAATTTTTAGCGAACAATCAGACAGTTTCTGTGTCTGTCGACGGGGCCAAACAAGGCACAAGGCGCCGGGGATTTGATGCGGTTCACAGTTCACTAACTGCTTTTCTGAAGGGCTTTTTTTTTTGCACCTCCAGTCCTTAAAGTTGGCCTAAATAAAATAAAAAAGCGAAACCTGCTTCTTGTCCGTTTAGAGCTCAATGCAGCGGCCCAAAACTGAGGCTAAAGCTCTCAATAGACGCTGGAGAGTCATGGGAGACGGACGTCCGAGAATACGGCGCTCAGAAAAACACAGAATACAGTGGAGAAGCACAATAGAGCTGGTTAGACACCAGTGAATGGCCGTCTGACGCTCTCAGGTTCGCTCTGGTTCACTGATCTTCACACGTATGGAAGATCTGGAGCCCAAAGCCTCCAAAGAGAGCCAGAGCCGGGCTGGAGAGCAAATGAGGCTGAGGTACTGTATGTGCCAGCTGGACGGAGACTCCATTAAGACAGAAAACAAGCTGTTTATGCACACACTCATCTCTTTCCCAGACACTGGCACTAGTTGCTTTCTTAAAATCCCTCCATATGTCAGTGCCAATAGCCTGGTGGTTAAGTGCGCCACCATACAGCACCATGGTGCTCGAGGCCCTATGCTGATCCTTCCCCTCTCTCTGCCCCCAAATCTTTCCTGCCTGTCCTACACTGTCCTATCACTATGGGGGAAACCGGAGCACCCGGAGGAAACCAACACCAACACAGGGTGAACATGCAAACTCCACACAAACACCAGCCAAGGCTCGAACCAGCGACCTTCTTGCTGTAAGGCCTTAGTGCTAACCACTGAGCCACCGTGCCGCCCTGTACTACTACAATTACTCATAATATCTAGAACAGGGTGCCCAAACATAGTCCTGGAGGGCCGATGTCCTGCAAAGTTTAGTTCCAACCACAGTCAGACACACCTGGACTAGCTCTTACTAGACTCTCTAGAAACATCCATCCAGGTGTGTTGAGGCTAAAATCTGCAGGACACCGGCCCTCCAGGACAGAGTTTGAACACCCCTGATCTAGAATGGTATAAACTTCTTAATATATGCAAAGCAGCAGCAGAAATCAGGGGATATTATGGAATCTGTTTATTTACATGTGTGTAAGTACATATCCGTTAAAGGGCTGCTCCAGAGGTTATGTTTAAGGCTAAAGTGATGATGATGATGATGACAGTGATGATGATGATGATGATGACAGTGATGATGATGATGATGATGATGATGATGATGGTGATGATGATTAAAGATGACTATGATGATAATGATGAACAAGATGATGATGACGAT